ATCGCTGTTGCAGCTTCTGAACGTCGTTTCCCGTTGCATGCTCTCCGCTACTCTCGTCGGTCGTCGGGGTCGTCAGGTCCATTTCGTTATTTTCATCCAACATCTCCAACCCCGTGTCCGTTTCCTGGTCGCTAATGACTAGCGACGCACCTTCCACCACTACACCAGCATACGTACTGCTGCTGTTTTGTTTTATTTCACTTTGCTACTTTCCTTTTTCCTTAAGTTGCTTCTCCGGTTCCTTCCGAGCCTTCCGCTTGGGGCAGGAAAGCTTCCGGTGTCCGTCCGCCTTGCACAGAAAACATTTATCTTTGTTGCCATCATAAAATATATTTCCTTTGCGATTGAAGAATTGCGATTGTCCCGTTTTTGATCATTTTTTTTTAGATGAATATATGGATGGAAGATAAATTAAAAATATTACGTGTAATCTTCACGTGTTTTCACGTGAAAAATGCTTTAAATGTGTTATTTCATTTTCCGTCATGAAACCTCTGTTGATGTGTTTCATGAAAGAGAAAACTATCAAAGTCAAGCGCTCTTTCGCTCATTCGTTTCACCGAAGCTTGAAAGGAAGACCAATGGAGCGACGGGAGAAAGAGAGACAAGCGATTGAACATTTGTTTGTGCACGCCGACTGAGGTTCTAGAATGCTGCGAAGCTGTTCGACTTTAACAGAAAAAGAAAGCCAGCAGTCTCTTCGTCGCATCGGTTTGGTCGATTGAAGCTGATATTGTGACGCCCTGGTAGCAACAAAAGGCACCGAACTGCTAGCAAACGAACAAAGAGCAACTATATAATAGCGAGTCTCGAAAACAGGTTCACACCGAAATAAAAAATCGACTGCTGCTGTAGACAGCTGTGGGACAACTCAATTGCCAGTGTTGTAGATGGGTTTTTACAAGAACAAAAATTATAAACTTCATAAAAATTTAAATAACGGCGCCGGTGGTGTAGTGGTAAGCGTGATTACCCTCACCCCAGCAGGCCTGGGTTCAATCCCAGTCGGCGCCGCCGGGATGTTCTGAGGCATAACATCTCTGATCACGCCTTCCTTCGGATGGGAAGTAAAGCCGTTCATGAGTTGATGGGTCGATAGGTAGGGTCCAGGTGTGGGAGCTGCCTTCCTGGCACGTAGGTAGCATTGGTGCTCAGCACGGAAAACAAGATCGACGGAAAAAACAAACCAAAAGGAACAAAAAAAAAAAAAATTTAAAGATTAAAAAATACATAGCTGAACACACAACATTCAATAGTTAGGTTTAGTTGCAATAATTTTTCGGTAAAGGGTTGTAAGGCATATTATTCATTGACCGCTGTACAACTTCTGTGCTTTTCCTTTAATTCAATCAGGAATCAATTTTATTCTCTTCAGCAATCGTAAAAATGGGCAAGGCTATAGATAACAATAAAGAAACTTAGCGACTAAATATAGATTCTGTAGGTCATGGAAAAGGGTCGATAGGTATAGCAAATCATAAAACTCGCAAGTGGTTCATCGAACAAGCATTTAACGGTCAATTTAAAAGTATCGTAGTTGGTAGTACCAAAGATGAATACTAAGATGAAACTGTAGGAAGAAATTTTTTCTATTTTAGTGTCCTCTTTCACGGTCCCTTTCATCCAATGAATACCCCCCGTATTCAAGGTAATTTTGTGGTTTTGCTGCCCCCTCGGCAGAGATGAAATGTTGCGCTCATTTTTATCAAAACAAACACACCAAAATTAGAGGTGTCCCATTTTTTAATTACTCGATTAACAACTAATCGATTTTTTTTGTTCGCTGTGCTGCCATATTTCCACTAATGAGAGTGCAGCACATGTTTGAAACGATCGGTGATGATCCTGTGGAGAAGTTAATGCTTATATCGGCATGATATAACCGATTACAAATATTTTACTTTTCGGTTCATTAATCGATTAATCGATTATTCGAATGAAAATCGGCCATCACTAGATGAATGTGAAACGTCATTTCAAATATATGGACCGTACATAAATAATGATACAATTTGAAAGGGACCGGGGCTCATCACAAATTACGTCCACATGGTAACTGAAATAAACACGAGTGTTCACCGGTTGGTAGTACCGCCTCCTGTGACGCGCATAGTCAATTCCCTTGCGTTTGACGTTTACACACTACCGCCATCTGTTCAGCGTACTGCCCATCACAGTGTACTCGACAGATGGCGGTAATGTTTAGCGACGATGTTTTGCAGTGAGGAATATTCATATTTGTCTGTAACTTTGACTATCCCCTGTATTTAGCTACTTTCTTTACTAATGGCATTTTAAAGCAGGACTAATTTGTCCCGTGTGGTTATTATTCTGTGATGTAAAATTTATATATCTACCCTGGTGCCATATGGACAATATTTTTTCACTGGAGACCTGGTGTTGCAGTTGTTTGCTTGAAAACGAAAACGAAGTAGACTTCTGCGCTGAAAATCATACCCTAAAAAGGGTATCTTTGGTTACTTCTTTTTGAACATTAGAATAAATGGAAACAGTTCGGGTTTTCAGTATGTTATTAAGCATCATTTCAGCTTTATTTTCGAAGATTATCTGCCGCTGTTGGCAGTCACACAGATGCAGGCGATGTTTTTGTCGCTTGTGGGATAGCGTTTTCCGCACTGAAATATCGAAGAAAATAAATTAGTGTTCTGAGTTCTTCATAAAGATATCTAACAAAGGGTTTTTTTGAAATTCGTAAAATTATTAAAATATCGGCGTTCAAAAAAAAAAAAAAAAAAATCGCGCGTAAAATATCGAAAAGTTAGAATATCCGAAAAATCCTATGTTAGATATTAGATAATTCATTTTTACATCGCGGACAGAAGAATCAGAAAAATTGATCGAATTGTCCCTCTCTCGCAAAGTAAAATATGTGGTTTCGAGATTTCAGTTATTTTTAAGTGAGTTTAACACAAGACTAACAGTCACTTACATTCATTCTGCAACGAATTGGCGATTTGACGCTACATTGTAGAAGGTATAAGGATGCCAAAAATGCGATTTTTCGAAATTCACCAACAGGTTCCCCTCTTAAGCTGGGTTTAGACTAGGCAAGTCAAATGATCAACTCAGTTGAATTCAATTGGCTTGAAAAGTTGAGGCTGGTTCAATGGTTTTTCAATTCAAGTGAGTTGATCAAGCCAGTTGATGCCATTCACGTTCACGGTTTACACGGTTTACAAATTTGAGTTTAGTTCACTCATAATCGCCAAAAGTGCAGGAACTCAGCGATGAGTAAATTTACCTCATGTTTTGCCAGGATTTTCCAGGGAAAAATTCCCGAATTTGAGAAAAGTTAAGATTGGATTCACTCAGTCTATTGGTACTACTGCGAGACTGAATACAATTTTCGTCAATTTCCTCATTTTCCGGCAGATTTTTTAGGTTTTCCACAGGAAACCATGAGACAAATTTACTCATCGCTGAGCTCCTGCACTTTTGGCGATTATGGCCGTGTAGTGAGCACCGGGGAGCGAGAAGCATATCAAGCTGAACATTACATTAGGTCCTAAGTAACATTGACAGATTCTCTTCGTCGACTTTTTCTTTGCATCCCCACGGCCATGTAAAGGTATTTCCAGGTATTTTCAGCACACAGATCGAAAAAAAAAGATTTTTTTCTAGCATATAATACGACAAACAACAAGAAACGGTTACGTGCTCAAGTTATTAACGAAAGAGAAAGTCGACGAATAAAATCGATCAATGTTACTTAGGACCTAATGCTATGTTCAGCTTGATATGAACGTCAAAAGGAGCCAGAATCAAACTGTCACGAGCCGTCATTGGGACCTAAGCAGTTTGATGATGCTTTTCTTACAGTTGAACAAGAATACACAAGGTGGTATTGACACCCTGCGTAAAGTAATTTATGAAAAACTGTTGTATCTTATTCAATGGAACATCGTTTTTTTTTAAATTCCCTCATTGAATATACTCAAATCCGTATTCAAAGATACCATTAACCAAAGGTTTTTGTCAAAATATTTAGTAGCATGATAAAATACAAAACAGAAAAGTACATTTTCTCACTGCACACTGGACAATCTCAAACAATTATTACACGCGCAAAGTAAAACAGGCTATTTTGCTACGCTTATTTTGTGTTGATTTCAATGGCACAAATTTTCATGACAAGAAGACCAAGCTATAACATAAATTCCTTGTGTGCTATTTGCTTCTCTCTGGTGAGCACGATAGCTCAAGTCATCTGTCAGTATTGTGTATAACATGGAGAGGTTAACTGAGATAATAGCCTATTAAGACTACAGTTGAGAAACTCTAAAAAACTGGGATCAAGGGTCCACTACGAGGGGCGCGCACTACCAGGTATGAGTGCGTGATATTTAAAATACATCATAGTAATTTAAATACTTTGAGAACAGTAATCATTTTATTTTAAATACTTTTAGCGGCATTGAAAGTAATCAACATACAATTAATAATAATTAATATAATGGCAAATAATTTAAATGATTTGAAAATAATTAAAGCATCAAATATTGTCAGTATTTAAAGTATTTAATGAAATTTAGAGTGTATTTAAAGTAATGAAAGCAGTAATGACAAGATTTTAAATATTTGGTCAGTAGGCTGCGTAGTATTGAAAGACTAGTGCGTGCCCCTTGGTCCACTAAATCTTACTGACTTTCCTGGCAATTTTCAGAAAACGTACTTTTAAGAATGTATATGTATAATTATGAGAGATGAGAGAAAAACATTCATGAAAAGTCCCTGAGTCCCATCTCCCTTACAAAAAAATGCAAATAATCAAATGAGGATCAAGTTTCCCCTAATTTTTCCAAATGCAAACTTTGGACATCTTTCAGAAAGTACGTACTTTTGGAGGTTTTAGAGTATTTGAGCCTGTGTGAAACCCGCATTAGATTTAGATTTTTTTTTGCTGAAGTATGTCCAAAACAAAAGTGTATCCACTATGTACTGATTGAAATAGTAATGTAATTCAAAATATAAACTCTTAGGTTTTAATTTCAGCAAACTTTATCAGTGACAATCATGAGCAAGAAAACACCCGCAAAGAACGACGGACCCGTTGAAGAAGCCGGGGAATTCTCCGTTGAAAAGGTTGTCGACCGGCGAGTTGTGAATGGAAAGGTGAATAATTTTAAAAATCTTCGCGACGTATCTGTTTCTTACAATACTTTCTGTTTCTGTTAGGTTGAGTATTATCTCAAATGGAAGGGATATCCATCCAGTGAAAATTCTTGGGAACCAGAAGAGAATGTAGACTGTCCTGATTTGGTCCAAGCTTTTGAAGAAACAAGAAAAAAGAAAGAGAAGGAAGGTAAGTTGAACGTCTGCAACTCCATTTAAAAAAATTCTACGTTTTTTGTTCGGCAACATTAGCCTCCATACACATATTTCAAAGGTATAAAATCCGGAATCTTGTTGATCCGGAAAATTTTGGATAAAAAAGTATAAACACGTATTTGAATACAGTAATGACCCGTACATCAGACTTTCCTCTATCAATAATTTCACATAACTGTAACTCCAAATCTTTCTCATTAATCTTCAAGATGGATGTTTAAAGTATCATTTTTGCAAGTGGTTGTGGGGGGATCAACCCTATTCGTACCTTCCTTATTAATCCTTAATTGTCCCTTGCTCGCCTTCTCCTTTCTATATACAATTTCCAAACTACCGTACTATAATGGAACTATGAACTCTATACTTTCATCTCATAATCTATTGTATAAAATGTCCACTTTAAGTCTGATATATTGAATCTGATATTAACGTTAAGCATGTTCAGCTATGTAAATTGTTAAATTCACGCATGAAGTAATAAAAATATGATTTGGCCATTCTTAAGCACCTCCGAAGGTGGAAGAGTTTAATCTCATACTGTAGACCTGCATGTTAGACCAAGACTACTGACCCGAAAAGATGGTATCACACATTCTTTTCATTATTTTTTTTTAGCCACGTCGTAGACGTTTATATAAAGGCACTGACATCAGGTGTGATACCAGTGGGTTTTGCCGCAATTCATTCTTAAATTGGACGATATTAATTAAATTAAATAATATACATTCTATCCCTACTCGAAACATTTTAGTGAAAACGACTAAAATGTGCACTTTTCAATTGCGTGACGTACCTTAATTGTTTTTCATTCAATAATTATCATTGAAAGAGTAAACAATAATACCTATATTGCAGTTGGTATCATACATAATTTATGTATCGCCTCATTTTCGAAAAGGGCGAATACTTCCGTTATGGCTGTGTGGAACACCGGTGCGTTTGGATAGAGTTAGGTGGCCCATGGAAGTACTGACCTTAAACAAAATATACTTAAGATAAGAAACTAATCTCAGAATGAAGCATTTTATGACAGAAAAGACTTAAGACGGACAAAGACAACATAAATCTTGCGGATTAATTTAGAAAGGTAGCATAATAAGAAGATAAAGAGAAATATTACTTTTAGGCTGATCTCGTGGGAGGAATAGGATGCCCCCCGAAGACAAGAAGACAAGACTTGGACAAAAATCAATCTTTAAAAACGGGAATGCGCAACTATATTATCAAAACTATTTGGATCAACACAAAAACAACAGTGACCAAATGGGCACCATAACCTAGGAACGTCTATGTGCTGATTTAAATAGAGGCTCATAGAAGCAAAATTTACTAATCAAAGGGGTGCAGTATAGAGTTTTTTTAGTAAGGGTATGCTGCCACTGTGATCACTACAAAATAAAAGAAATTAGTTAAAGTACATTTTCAATGCTAGCTCACCCATGAAACTATGAATGGCTTTCCTATGCAGCATTATAGAAAGTTCTGTCCAAGATGAAATATAAAAAGTTGCAATAATAATGTTGTGCTGATGTGTCGAAAATCGAAACTATTTAACTAATAACAAAGAAAATATATTTTCTTTTTTTATATAATGCGTTTATTTTTCCAGGCTCATTTGCAATATTATTCAATATAAGATTGTACAATTCAATAGTTAAATTAAGTAAACAATACCAGCTGTTGCAGCTCAAAATGCTATGATTATAAACAAGCATTAATCGATTTCACCCCATTTAAGACGCATGGCCCGTTTGTCCCGTAGGAAGGACATTTCGAAAAAACGTAAACAACTTTTGACGAGGTTTAATTTGCATTACATTGCTGATTTATAAAGGTAATGTTATAAACTTGCAATACGGTGTACAAACTCTTATAAACATCCACTATTTGGCATGTATAGAACGTACAATTACTAAAATGGCACTCTTGCCCTACCAGACCCTATCTGGCAGAGCCAAACAGTCAAACTTTTCGATTGTGGAAAATATTGAAATCACTAAGCATTTTTTAACAACAACAAAATTAGAGATTTTGTGTTTTATGTTTCCAGATGCGATAAATAAATAACTTATAAGCATTCTTTTGAATAAACATGTAATTTTAAACGAAATGGACAATCGATTTTAGCTGGTTTTATGTTTAAAAAAGATAATCATTCCAAAGGAGCATCAAAAAACGAGTCATTCTATGTGTGAACGCTTGTAAGTGCTACACAGGTAGTAAAAATATCAGTGATGCTAGTTTCACAAAATGTCTATTCGTAAGTCTATGTTTACTATGTCGTCTGTAGTTTACAATTATTTAGTGTAAGCGGTCAGTTTTAATCTCACCACAACTGACAGCATGGCGCCACCTAAGGTCATTAAGTTATTTAAAAATAAATGGCTACCACTTGTACTAAATATGTTTCTTGAAAAAGGTTCTAATTTCGTAAAAATCAATGTTTTTTCTGCATACAAAATAAACCGCCGTAATACCCCGGACAGACTATGGCTTATATCATGTAATATAGGCTGGCTTGCAATGAGCACTCATACATCTAGTTTTCACTGGAAATCCTATGTATGAGTGCTCATTGCAAGCCAGCCTATATTACATGATATAAGCCATAGTCTGTACAGGGTATAACTTGTTTTTACTATTATCTTCCATGCATTACATATTATGTTCATGAAAAATATTTAAAAAAATCTCACTACTATTCCAAGTTTAATACAGTGACCACTTTCAACCAATCATGATAAAACGAAAACCTCGACTGGTTTAGATTTTCTGTTGAGAAACCTGTCGAACCTCTGCTAAATGTGTATATGGTAAAAAAAAAGTTTTTATTCTAAGTTCTATTGGCTTCTAAAAGATCTTCCAAATAATTGTTAGGAACACAGTTTTATTTCAAAGAACCTTTTCATCACCATTTCATAATTACGATGCGCTACATTAAAACTTTTGTATATATACCACTACTGATCTAGGTTTATTACCAAATACAGCGAAAGAGGAAGGCTCGAGCAAGAAAGGACGTAAGTCGACGGCATCTACAGATGACAAGGCACCCGCAGCAAAAAGAAAGTCGACTGGTGGTGAAGACAAAAAGATAGGATTCGATCGAGGTCTAGAACCAGAAGAAATTCTTGGTAATGATTACAATTAAAAAAAAAAAGAAACATGGGGACGACTCTGGCGTAGTGGTTAACATTCATACCTCTCACGCCAAAGTCACGAGTTCAAACCTCATCCCCGGACAAGTCACGAATGACCCAAGGTTGTTAAGGTGTTTCGCTGTGAGATCCTTATTCTCGTAATCACTTCGAAACATCAAGTGCACAAATATCACCTTCTACGACACGTACACTATTAAAACTGTTACTCCACGCTTGCTGCACTGCAGTATACATGAAGTAGCTATTCCTGGTGAAATGAAGTACCAATTTCCGAGATTTGTGTAATTGAAAACTCGAAGTGGAACTGCAAGTATAGCCTACAATGGTGGCCATTTGTGGACTCTACAAGGAATCACCTTAAAGTGACTAAAAAAAGCAATAAAAAACTATTACCTCTATTATATACCTCCAGGTGCCACTGATCACAACGGACAACTAATGTTCTTGATGAAGTGGAAAGATGCAGCCAACGCTGATCTCGTGCCAGCCAAGCAAGCAAATGTCAAGTGTCCGCAAGTTGTAATCAAATTCTACGAATCACGCCTGACATGGCAAACGTCTGAGAAGAAGAATGATTCGAAAGATGATTACGCCTAAACAAGTATCAAATATTATAGAAGCAGTTTAATGATAAGAGTATCGGTAAAGTGAATCTATTTTAAGTATCTCCGTTTTTCTGTAATTTCACAAAGCAGCCAACATTTGAACCATTTGACACACTTTTTAGGTGACCTAGGATCACCAATCAAGTGATTTTCAATAGTAGTTTGACTTGCAGCAAAACGATGTTTATTTATACATTAATGAGCTAGACAGATTATTTTCTTCAAATATTATTCCTACATCCAGGCGACCAGAAATTTTGTTATTTTAGGTAGTTTTTTTTATCTCTATGATATAAATGCGTTATTTTATACGAAGTCGAATTATCAAAACATACAGTTTGCGGTTGATATAATACTGTTTAATATCGAACATGGCCGGCGAAATGTGTATAATTTTTTTTGCAACAATTACAATTAACTCGTATCAGAATGGAAACACTTGCCCTCAAATCGTTTAATCTTGTATGAGTAAAGCTACATTTGTGGAACCAGAATGGCGGAAATCATTGTGTTTGTCTATGAGGAATACAAACCTAAATTGTATGTAAGGAAATGAACATTTAAATACTAATATCAATAAAAATCAATAACAGTGCGTTTTTCTAAAGATCAATACATCAGAACCTCTTGTGTCTATGGGGGAATGTCGTTTGACATAAAATAACTTGGCTTTATGGTCGTTTGGTATAATAGTAATTTACCAAAATGGACGTTTACATAACAGTATTTTTTTTTTTGCAACTGATAAAGTAGCATAAATATTGCTGATTGCGTCTAAAACTGGACTGTCCCAAAAATCCAAAAAGTTTGATAAAAGTGCACTTCAAATCGTGTTGATGTCTTCGGAGCACTTATTGCTTGCATCATAAGGAATAAGTGCACCGAACACACCAAGACGATTAGACGTAAACTTGCAATTTTATCACACTTTTTAATAAGTGAAAATGCGCTTATTAGTCCAATTTGGTGTGAAATGCGGAATAATAAAAATGTAAATCTTTTATTTAAAAGTACCCAAAAATTTGTTACGTTAAATGGTTATTTTTCAATCCATAAGTGGATGTTTTGATTTTAACTAGTAGTTTTATAAGCGTAAATTTTCAAATCAAAAATTGTTTAACTGACAAAATTAATTGTTCGGGGGTAGGTTTCTGCTCATTTGTGGTTATTTTTAGAATTACTGTAAATGAAAAGAAAAACAAGCAAAACGGGAAGTGCAAAGCTTGCATAATAAATTTTTATTCGACCAGTAGTTTTCAAATTAAATTCCTGTTGCATTCACCGGCTGAAAATATAAATGATAACACAATCTATGACAATACAACAGGATAAATATTGTAAGTATGTACCCATTATGCAATCGTGAACTGATTCTTTAAATAAGTATTTTTTACCCATTTTATGATTTCCAAATTCCCCCATTTTTTAACAGCTGCATACATGGTTTGAAAATGGGTATGTTTTTACCCATAAATGGGTTTTCACGAAACACCGTGTACAGTAAAAGTATGGAGTAGAGTCGGTGTATAATGAGTCACGCCAAGAGTGAAGCCAAGTCTACCTATTGAACTGTCAAACCGGCTACCTATCGAGCAAAGTAAACAAACATTACGATGCTATGAAAGGTCCACGAAAGGTATTGCAATAAAATATAAAATATAATCGAAGAAATTATCATAAATACGCAGTGAGCATTAGCTTGTCATGGGATACGTTTAGTAATGACCAGTAATGAGAATTTCTACTATTTTTTGTTAAGATAATTTGACAAAATCACTGATATAATGATTTACTACAGCCGCTATTTTTATTTATGGCTAGAAGTCATTTGAAGTTGATGTAGAAGTCCTCTGTTGCCAAGTGAAAGGAAAGAGAATCTTTCGAAAACCGTGATGCGAGTTAAACTGTTTTTCTCTTGGCGTGACTCATTATACACCGACTCTAGTATGGAGTCTGTCAAAACAGTGCCAACATTTCAAAGGGGCGTAATTGCATTTGGCAATGGCTTTAGCCGTCGATTTCTCGCGAATAAAAGTTCACTCGTAAAAAATAATGACACCAGCAGGTAGAGGAATGTTTCCTCTACTAGCTAGCATTGTAATTATGGAGAGGTAAGATTTCATTCGCGAGAAATTGACGGCTAAAGTCATTGTTTACAAAATCAATTACGCCCCTTTGAAATGTTGGCACTGAAAAGTTGTTCCAATCGAAACGTCAACACTAAAGAGCACCGTTTTGCTCGGGTTTTCAGTTTTGTTGTGACAATCGTCCATACACAGAGAAAAAAAATACCCTAAATTTAAGTTCTTTTTACTTAATTTTGGGTATTTTTGAATTTGCATCCCACTCTCAGGGCATCTTTAGCGGCGATACAATTGGTTGGTTTGGTCTAAAATTTAGGAACAGACCCAGACCGAGCCCTTGCACTGGTGGTCTATATTTGGTTTTAGATTAGTTCTAAAATGTAATTTTTTTAAACCAGTATAATTGGGTTCTTTAATTTTGAAAAATGTATCGTTTTTTATACATCATCTGAATCTGAGCACAGCGATATTTTTTTCGAAACCACACACTTTCATCTCGATTTTTAGATCAAGATTTAAAGCAAAACAATAACTTCATTGTTTGAAACTAAACTGACAAACTGAAAGCTCGCTTCCATACAAAGTGACATCGAGGGGCACTAATAAGGCGATTTTTGCAAATGTAATCGTACTTATTTAAAAAAGTTCCAGTTTACCAAAATTGATAAAATTTTGGGTTTGGGTTCCATTTTTAATGCAGATTACGAATATGCATTTACCTCAATAGCCTTAAAGAACCCAATTCTCGATCTATTTTGAACGGAATTTGGATCAAGGCAAGCACTGTTCTAAACTAGTTTGACAGCTGTCGCACTCGAGATTTTGTTATGTTTTGTTTCGTTGTTGGGGTTTTTTCTGCAAAACAAACCGTTTAGTTCCTATATTTTCTAAGAAACGTGGGCGGAACAATCGACTGCTGTTGACATTGGTGTAGTTCCAGCTCTATCGCACTATCGATGCTGCTGTTGCTGCCGGCCCTGTCGTCGCAGCTGCGAAAGGATCACAAGGGAAACATCCGGACGCTTCTGTTCTGCAGGAATTTGCGGGCTTGTTCTGGAAACTCCCAGGGAAGTGGCCAGTTTCTGACTTGGTCCAAAACTCATCATGTGACACATCAAGCCGGCGCCGGTGGTGTAGTGGTAAGCGTGACTGCTTTCTAACACCCCGATGGGTCTGGGTTCAATCCCAGCCGAGTTCGGTGGGATTTTTCTGAGGCATAAAAATCTCTGGTCACGTCTTCCTTCGGAAGGGAAGTAAAACCGTTGGTCCCGGCCCATGTGTGTTGTGAATGGGTACGATATCCTACGCTGCCTTCCTGCACATTCGATTGCCGTCAATGGATGGCAATCGATGTCCGTCGGTGATTGGCACTAGATTGCGGAACAGAGACTGACGTTAAATAAAGGAAAAAAGACACATCAAATCACATAAAATTTCAAAAGCAATATCAATTGTATAGGGGAATTTACGTATTCTCGTCAATCTAAGCAGCGTCCGAACTTCTATTAGCGATTTCTCAGCGTCACACACATACATGACAGGTTTGTTTGTTGACATTTATCTGCTGCTTGCTGTTCTACCAATTCCAATCGACAGAATTGATCAAAACGGGTTGAACATGTTTTTACAACGCTCCAAACTTCTCAGGTGAGTGTGACTATTGTTGGCAGTCTCTTTTTCTTCGGCACCCTTTCCATTTGAACTGCGTGTTAACCGGCTGTTCTATTATAGGCAACTCGAAATCAGCCGTATTTTGTAGTGTGTATATTTAATTTAAAGAAAAATATGGCATAACAGGATTGCACAGTCGTAAAAATGTAATCAGATTGAAGCTTAAAATGTGAGGAATCGGCTTAATACATTCAACGAAGAGTTTTGATGGGAAAATACAGTGAAATTAACGTTTCAATTTCGGTTGCCGAAAACAGTCAATGGGTGCCGAAGCCATAATTTACCCTAGTAGCAATGTAGAAATATCAATATAGTGCATATGTTGAATCATGTTGACCCCTATCGGATATGTTCTGGGCACCTCCAAGGAAATGGCCAGTTTCTGATTTAATCCAAAACCCATCATGCGTCACATAGCACATTAGATTTCAAAACCAAGATCAATGGAATTCAAATAATATGCCCAGGACCACCTTTCTTATTTCCAGGCATCTTTCAGGAACCCCTAGGGAAGTGAGTAGTTTATGATATGGTCCAAACCGAGGTCCAAACCCTGTGATTTGACAATACAATTTCACAGAAATTGATAAACGAAATCAGTTTAAGTCAAATATAGTGTCCAGATCCACATTGGCCACATTCTGGTATGTTCCGGGTACCCCCCAAGAAATTGTCCAGTTTCTGACTTGGGAAACACGCAACAACATGCCAGACAACAAATACAGGTTTTTATTATTATTTCACTGGGAACCACGAGGAGCAGGATAACGAGCAGTTCAAGGCTTTTTGCACATCAATCCCGGAGACAGCCATTGCGAGATATGATGCATCGGTAATTTCCGGATAAAAACCGTGTACGAAAGCGCACGAGATTAAAAAATGGCTGACCACGAAATCAGGGAGTGAGTTGGTGTTGACTCGGGTTTTGACGTTTGAAATAGAACGGCTAAAAATAGATCAACCGGTGCGTACGCACACAGTTTGATCTATTTTGGCTTGATTTTTTTTTTAATTTTAGCTGTTTCAAATGTGACATAAATTTGGATCTAGATCAGACCACCGCTAAAGATGCCCTCACTTTTTGTTGTTCTCAAAAACGGAACGATAGATTCGACTTTCTCATGACTATCGTTTAATAAGCTACACGAAGAAAAAAACTATCGTCGAAACAAAAATATTTGAGGTAAATTTAAACGTAAACTCAGTTTGTTCTGGCCACAATCATAAATTAGGTTGATTTAAAACGTATTCCATGTTTGAAGTCATGTGAAATCAATGTTTAAAATAAAAATAATGTTACGTTTTTTTCAAAAATATTCGTGTTGAAAATAAACGTATTGGTTTTTGTTTGGTTTGACAGCTATGCGAACAATAATAAATATGTTTATTTTAAACATGCTTCTCATGTTTAAAATAAACATACATATTTTGAAATTATGTTAGTAGTTGAGTGCAGGGTAAAGCAAAATAAAACGGTTTGCAAAGAAATGAAAAAAAAAGATCCTGCTGTGGGATTAACGGTGACCTGTGGGTATTGGGGTACTGGTCCGGGATGCGAGGACCCGTCGGGGTGGGTGTCTGGGGGTTTCAGTTCTGTGGAACCGGTTAAAATTTGTGATATTACGTCATTTTGTCGTTTCTGCCACTGGTCCTCATACCGGTTTCTTTCTATGTTCGGTATCGGAAGAGGATCCGGAATGGATTCAGAATCCATTTAGGATTTTCAATGTTCTTTCGATGTCACGTGTAGAGGAGGATGATTATAGCGATCGGCATCAGAAACGACGGAGTGAAGTTGATACCCACAGGCTCTGCCGGTTTAGTCGAGCTGGTTTCCGGATCCGTCTTCGGTTTTGCCACTTTCGGGCCGGTTTTCTGTTGAGGTTGAGCAACTGTTTCCGAATGTAACAAGAAGGAAATAAAAAGGCATGACACGCTAAAAACCGTTTACCCACATCCTATATTGTTGAAATAAAAATGCTTTTGAATTTAATTCAAACATAAATATTTTAGTTTTACTTCTTCTTTCCTTTATTTAACGTCGGTATCTGTTCCGCAATCTAGTGCCAATCACCGACGGACATCGATTGCCATCCATTGACGGCGATCGAATGTGCAGGACGGCAGCTTCCACACCTGCGTAGGATATCGCACCCATTCAACACACATGGGCCGGGACCAACGGCTTTACTTCCCTTCCGAAGGAAGACGTGACCAGAGATTTTTATGCCTCAGAAAAATCCCACCGACCTCGGCTGGGATTGAACCCAGACCCATCGGGGTGTTAGAAAGCAGTCACACTTACCACTACACCACCGGCGCCGGCATTATTTTAGTTTTAAACATGCTTTCAATTTACGTTGAATAAGTAATATGTAAAGAATATAAAATTTATATGTTTGTTTTAAATGAAGTATTTTCGGGCATAAGTCAGAATTAAGTGTCATGTCGGTTTGACGGTGGTTCCATAGCCATTTCAGTTAAAGTTTAGCAGGGATTATAATTTTTTTACCATTTTGGTAATGGTTCGCATTTATGCGGGAATTTTCCTTTCTTTTCTGTGATTACATGCTATGTTCCAGACTAAGGAGTTTGTTTTATAGTCGCTACACGGATAGAAATCTCCTTATACCTTTTGGAAAATTTCCATTGCTGATTATTCATAAAAAGTATAAGTCAACTAATAAGCAGACGCCTTGCAAAAAGTGAATAAAGATCATGTGTCAAATGAAATGTATAAGCGGTCACACAAACCTTTTATGCATTCTAATAGGACCTATGTGGTTTGTCTTATGGAATGTATAAGGCTGATGCTTTGGCAAAAATGTATAAGTGAAACACATGAATTAAATAATTGATTTTCGTTTCGTGTAGAGAACATAATTAATTCGTTATATATGATAAAGAAGGGAACATTCCCTTCATTGAAAATATAACAAAAGGAAATAATTAATTCTTTGGATGTACGATAAAGAAGGGAATATTCCCTTCTTTTAATATATAAGGACAATATATAAACAATAGTTTTTCGCAAGGGATTCGGGGTAATGCCCATTTGGGATAATAAGGTGTGGAATAATGTTATAAATTTGTAATCAGTAGTTCAACGTTCCATGCACCGATTTTTCAATCCATCACGAGAAATTCTTCAACTCAGGTCGAACAATTCTTCGATAAGGTTTAACAGTTTCCGACTGGTTGAATTGGATTGCATAATAGACCCTTTGACTTTTTAAATGATGAACGAAGTGCTCGAAAACTTGAAAAATATATATTGAAATATGTATATTAAGCTGTTCCGTAATATAAAACTGAAATATAACATCAAATAACCAAAAGAAAGTGATAAATTACTAATTTCATCATCTTTTCTGGGGAATGGTACATTCTGGGGAATGGTATATGCTGCACGGATAGAAATCTCCTTATACCTTTTGGAAAATTTCCATTGCTGATTATTCATAAAAAGTATAAGTCAACTAATAAGCAGACGCCTTGCAAAAAGTTAATAAAGATCATGTGTCAAATGAAATGTATAAGCGGTCACACAAACCTTTTATGCATTCTAATAGGACCTATGTGGTTTGTCTTATGGAATGTATAAGGCTGATGCTTTGGCAAAAATGTATAAGTGAAACACATGAATTAAATAATTGACCACTTTGTCAAGCAGTTTTGACGTGACTTTCTACCAGCGATTTCACAAAACTGGACCAACTAATTTCTATTTTTTTGTGAAACGCACAAATGTTGGCTACTTTTTTCGAGGTTCTAGAAGAAAAAATCTCAAAATAATGTTTCATTTCAAAGTTCGAGTGGTAGTAAACGTCATTTTATCTGCTCGAATGAAGTGGTTAATTGATTTTCGTTTCGTGTGGGGAATGCTTTTCTGGAGAATGGTGCATTCTGGGGAATGTTATAGAATCCGAGAAAAGGGTTTCCGAAGGTTTGTTCGCAATAGCTCATGTGCGCTTTTCTGTTGTTGGTCGTGATTTGCTCGATTGGTTCCGCTATTTGACAGCTCCATTGGTTTCCGAGATTCTATCCGCCAGACTATGAATATAGCGACTATAGTTTGTTTCAGTGTATCATCCTGCTTTACCGACATCACGCTAATAATGAGGCAACTTCACCAACATCAACTATACCTGTTTCTCGTTTCGTCGGGCGAAGATCGGATGCCAACGTCGATCGCCGCGATGCGCCCCTTTCTATTCAGAAACGTCAAATCGTTTTTCCTATGACTGATTCGGTGTGAATTATTTCTGTGAATTTCATCAGGAAATACTTGTAAGTTATCGGATAATGTAGTTTCAATAGCTTAAGTTCAGTGGTTTGCACTATTTGAAAGTGAAGTGATTCAGATTTATTTGCAATTGGATCAGCAAATAATGCTTTTCTTGCCGGTGGCAACTGCGTGGCAGCTTCCGTCACTTTCCCATGATGGGGGAGATACAGAGTGTGGGGCGAAAAATGCCTTAACCTCAAACATATCTTGTTGACTATAGTGTATTTGGAATTATCGTAATGATAATCGTTGTTGTATCCTTAGGTGAGCAGTAAACGGAATACAATTGAAAAATGTCTCGATTCTTCGCCGGTGCTGGTTCGGACTCCGATTCCGAAAGCTCGTCCGATAGTGAGCCAATTCAGCGTCAGGCTGTTCCGCAATTCACTGTGAGTAGGGAGACGGGTAAACTGTTGATACCAATGGATGATGATAATTTTACTTCTCTTGCAGTTCAGCGATGAGGAGGAAGATGTCAAGCGTGTCGTCCGATCGACGAAGGAAAAGCGTTACGAAGATTTATCCAACATAATCAAGAGCATTCGTAACTACAAAAAGATCAAAGATATGGCTAGTATGCTAAGCAGCTTTGAAGATTTGACGAGGGCTTATGCGAAGGCTCTACCAGTGATAACGAAGGTTGAAAATGGAGTCACTCCAAGGTTTATTATTCGTGCGCTGGCCGAGTTGGAGGACTTCATCAATATGGTTTGGGATGATAGGGATGGACGCAAGAATCTATCCAAGAATAATTCCAAATCTCTCGGAACGTTGCGTCAAAAGTTCCGGAAATACATTAAGGACTTTGACAGCGACTTGAAAAAGTTCCGTGAGTCTCCGGATGCCGCTGACGATGACGAGGAGGAAGAGGAGAAAAAGGATGAATCCGAGTCAGAGGACGAAGAGGATGTTGTTCCAAAGGCAAAGGCAGTTTCTTTCAAAAAGGAGGTGAAAACCGCAAAGGTAGAGAAGGATGACGATGACTCGGATGATTCCATTGATTGGGATATGGGATCTGAATCGGATGAAAGCTCTTCGGATGAGGAAACCCAGTACACAAGCATTCGAGAGCGTTTCTTGAAGCGCAGTGAAAAGGATGACGGAGACGATGGCGATGCCAAGAAGGAGAAGAAAAAGCTCAAGGATACTAAGGACAGAGTCAAGAAGAAGCGTCCTGAGGATGATGATGAAGGTTGGGAAGTTGTTAATGGAAATCGATCGACCAGTGCCGAGCAGCCGAAGATGTTTGCAAAAGATGCTGAGATTGACGTCAATGTTGTAATTAACAAACTAAATGAGGTGATGGCTGCTCGTGGTAAAAAGAGAACCGACCGAAAACTACAAATTGAATTCTTGAGAGAATTACGTACCATTGCCGATGCTCACAATCTTGGAGACGCAGTTGCCGCTAAAATTCGTTTCAACATTGTTTCGGCAATTTTCGACTACAATCCGAAGGTTTCGGAGCCAATGAAGTTGGAACATTGGTCCAAGTTGCTGGAGGAAATCAACGCACTTATTAAGTTGCTGCTGGCCAATGATGAAATCGTTTTATCGGAAACTATTTTGGAGGAAAACGAAGAATACGAAACGGCCCCCTTCAAGATTCGTGGATGTATTCTTACTGCTGTGGAACGTCTGGATGACGAATTTACCAAACTGTTGAAGGAATGTGATCCTCACAGTAACGACTATGTAGATCGTCTGAAGGATGAAGTAACCGTAAGCAGCGTAATTGAACAAGTGGTTACATATGTCGAACGGTTGGATAATGATATGGAAACATGTCGTGTCTACTTGCGCAAGATAGATCATCTTTACTACAAGTTTGATCCGAATGTGCTGAAGAAGAAAAAGGGTCAACTACCTGCCACCACGTTGACTTCGGTGGATGAGATGGATCGTTTGTGTCGGTTTGTGTATGCCAAGGATCAAACTGATCGTCTGCGAACCCGTGCTATCCTTTCGCACATCTTCCACCATGCTCTGCATGATAACTGGTTCCAAGCACGTGACTTGGTCCTGATGTCCCACTTGCAGGAAACCATTCACCATTCGGATCCTCCTACTCAAATTCTTTACAATCGTACCATGGCTAATTTGGGCCTGTGTGCATTCCGCCACGGAAACGTTAAGGACGCTCATCAGTGTCTGGTAGACCTGATGATGACTGGAAAGCCAAAAGAATTGCTAGCACAAGGTCTGGTTCCTCAACGTCAGAACGAACGTTCCTTGGAACAGGAGAAAGTGGAAAAGCAACGGCAGATGCCATTCCATATGCACATTAATCTGGAGCTGCTTGAGTGTGTTTATTTGGTTTCCGCTATGCTCCTCGAGATTCCTTACATGGCTGCGCATGAGTTTGATGCCCGTCGTCGTATGATTAGCAAGACGTTCTACCAGCAGTTGAGATCCTCGGAAAGGCAGTCTCTAGTCGGTAAGCTGAAATCGTAAAATTCTAGTAGTATTTGATTTGATTCATTTTTTAATATGCATCCTTTCTTTGCAGGCCCTCCCGAATCTATGCGTGAACATGTGGTTGCAGCCGCGAAGGCGATGCGTCATGGAAATTGGAATGCTTGTTCCAACTTCATCGTCAACAAGAAAATGAATGTTAAGGTTTGGGATCTGTTCTACGAAGCCGATCGTGTCCGCGAAATGTTGGTGAAATTCATCAAGGAGGAATCGTTGCGTACGTATCTGTTTACCTATTCAAATGTGTATGCTTCGATTAGTGTCCCTTACTTGGCGGAAATGTTCGAACTGCCCAAGAGCAAGGTCCATTCGTTGATCAGCAAAATGATAATTAACGAAGAATTGATGGCCTCGTTGGACGATCCAACTGAAACAGTCGTGTTACATCGTTCAGAGCCTTCACGTCTTCAAGCTCTGTCGATGCAACTCTCCGATAAGGTCACCAATTTGGTTGATTCGAACGAGCGTGTCTTCGAGATGAAGCAAGGCAACTTCTTCCAACGTGGTGGAAACCAGGGTTACAACCGTGATCGCCAGAACTACCGCAACCAAAATCAAAACCAGAATTGGAGCAGCAACCGTCGTCAGGATAACCGTGAAAATCGCGGCAACCGTAACCAGAATCGCGACCATCGTAAACAGCATCGTGTTGAATTCGAAGAGAAGGCTGAGTAAACGATTGAAATTAACGGGGTTCACATCCCGACGTTAAAAAGGGGGAAAAGGTATTACAAACAAGATCGTACATTTGAAGACAACATTTGCATAAACATAGCAATCTAATCTAATTTTGCTAAAGTATAAATATTCAGCTATATAATGAATACAGAAATATACAGGTGTTGGTTTCCCGATCTGAAAGCTTTCGTCTCGATTGAGTGAATGGCTTTCAGGTCGGGAGTATCAATGCAGAGATAAAGGGGAAAGAGTCGTCTTAGTTTCTTTCTGATGACACAACCTCTTGACTCTAGAGACTCGACCATACACGGTGATATTCACAAAACATCTTCAAGGGAAATTGTCAGTGACAATCCACGAACATGTGCAGTTTTGTTATTAGTTTAATTAGTAATACATTGATAATGTCCCCTCCCCTTAGCTAGTTTTTGCGCCTTGCTGCTGGTCGGCGGGCTTAATTTCATGCTTTATAGTGGAGAGTGTTGGAGACAGTAGGTTTATGGCCGGTGTTGCGATTGAATGGCGCCATTGGCAGGCAATGGGGATTACTAAGCTTCCCCTCTCTGATGATCCACTGGATGAGAAAACCAAAGATTTAGTCTAGCAGTGATAGTATCACACTTGTTACTCCTTTGTTTGAGAGCTGCGTTGTAGTACGTTTACGTATACTGCCGTTATACGCATAACTGTCCCATGTTCTATGCAATCCTTATGCACCGTGGGACTCTTATGCGTATAACGGCAGTATAGGCACTGACGTTGGGTGCGATACTGGCAGGTTTTTCCGCAAATCACTCTTATTTATTTTTACGCAGATAGATTTATTTGGGTTTGCAAGGGAATTATACTATTGAAATATTTCAGATTGTAACTTAATATCTTATACTATCTGAGTGTGCCCAGCCTTGCACAGGATTCAATGTTAGCTTGAGCGTATGCGCCGATTAAAATAAAAGCATGATATATTGTACGTAGCCCCCTCCCCCCTCTTATCTAAGGGGATACCCCCTATGACCTCCACATGCCAAATAGGGTTCCATTTACTTGATTAGTTCTCGAGTAATGCAGAAATTTTTGTTTCATTTGTATGGGAGCCCCCCCCCCTTACAGAAGGGGAGGGGTCTCAAAACATCATAAGAACCTTTCTCGGCCCCAAAAATCCATGCATACAAATTTTCACGAAGATCGGTTCAGTAGTTTCCGAGTCTATAAGGGTCAGACAGACAGACACAGACAGAAATTAATTTTTATATATCAAGAGCCACATGTGAAAAGGGCATTCAAGCTTTTTGTAAACAAACCTTTGTAGGTCCTCTTCTCGCCAACCGAGGGTCGCCCACGTAAACTAACAACATCATCGGGAAGGGGAAACCTTCCCCTATCCGGCGATGTTGATGGTTTGCGTTGGTGTCATATGGGTGGCGAGAAAAGGGCATAAGAATGTTTGTTTACAAAAAGCTTGTATGCCCTTTTCACATGTTGATATTGATATATAGATGTGCTTCATTTTGATTTGGGATTAGTGTTTGAATTATGGCTCGGGATTTCCACTGTGGCGTGCTTCTATTGTGACATACCCATACTGCCCATAAAAGCATAACTGTCCCATATGAATAGGAAATCAAGCACAGATGGGACAGATATGCTTTTATGGGCAGCATACGTATATTTGTGGAGCGACATGCCAGATGCCACGTCAGCACGAACTGTCTTCTTGAATTTCGCTCTATCATGATGAAGTATGTTTCTTTTGTAAAGTTAATTAGTGTTTTAATAGTTTGATTCGCGTTCGTATTTTATTACGTGGATAAGATCACGGACGCGTATTCAACACATCCGAACTTTATGTAGTATGGTAGTATCATCTATGATATCGTTAGTGTATGGTACCCTTTTATTAGGGTTCCCTACTCCCACCTGATTGCAAGGACGTGGCTGGCGCCGTTATTGATCTTTTAAATTTGGAGTCACTGAAACATGAACAATGAGATTGGAAGGTTAGTCACTAGTTCTGATCAATCACGGTGTAGTAACCATTTGATATGTGCATTCAGTCTAAGCTAAGCTGAAGTGTTCCTATCGACCATTGAGTGTATCCTCGAAACCACGCTCATCATCGTCGCGTTCTATTGGAGGCGATGTACTGGAATTGCATTGGGTCACGGTCATCCTGAGACAGATTTTATTCGTGTGGAGCATTTCCACTTGCAGAACCCCACAGACACGATATATACTACCGGTTCCGGTATGGATGTGCGGGTATCATGCGGTTGTGTTACCATCGCAAGCTCATGTGGATTTTGTATAAGTGCCTCAGAATAAAATGCTCTGTGCGCTTATTTGGCGATTACGCGCAATTATATTTCAAGGTACAATACCACTAGATACAAGTTTTACTGCTATCTAATTCATTTCCTTCCTGTATTCGTTTATGGTGGTAAGCTCCAACCGGCATTATCCTCGGCAAGAATGTCCGGTAGCTTTGATGGTCGACATCAGATTTAACCAACACGTCTCTAAGCAAACATTTAGCAGACCCAAACCGGCTTGGAATTAAAAGTTAAGTCGAGTTAGAGCTTACCGCCATTAATATCCTTTTGCAAATACAGTCAAGATTCCTATAGTGCGGATTCGTTCTTGCCAGATTCCTACACTCAAAGAATAAATCACATATCCAATGGAAAATATCCATTAGAATTTCACATAACTTTCATGTGATATCATAATTGGGAATTGCACCACAAAATGTCAAATGAAATTTAAGTGATTTATCATAAAGAACTAATGTGATCACATGAATGTTATGTGAAATTCAGATAGATAGCATTGGTTTGGTTAACGAATACACGTGCCATATGGGATTTGAGCTAATTGGGACCAAACACTGATTGTACGGCAATTCGAAGAGATAACTTCATGATGTCTTTGGAGAAGTTGTTAAGCAGATAGTTGGCCACCTTTTGGGAAGAGTCAGTTTCCGGTAAGATACAAGTCTGCTCCTGTGGAAGCTCCGGAACATTTGTAAAAGTAGTTAATTCATGGAGCTGATCCTAGAGTTCCATGGGTTTTTCGAAACCACTCATAGGCGTCTTATCACAATAAGCTCGGGGAGAACGACCAGCAAATTCACACTGGGGATCACGGGATGGTCCACTAAAAGATCCGGAACATCCTTAAAAGTGGTTAATTTATGAAACTGATCATAGAGCACCGTGGTTTTTTAGAAACCATGGTGAACCATCTCGTGGTCTCAAGGGTCCATTTTCCGGTCACAACTCCCATTTTATTCTGATGAGACATCTGTGAGTGATTTCGAAAAATCAGAAGAGCTCTACACTAATAAAATTCCACACATTTTTATTGACGAATTTCCATGTGAAATTCCACATGATTTTCATGTGACCAGACATAAACAGAATCCACCCAGAAGCACACATGAAATTTATGAATCAAATGAATAGTATGTGTGGTTACACATGGCTTTTATGTGTACATATAATAAGTGTGTGTTCGACACATAGTTATCATTTGTTGATCACATTGCAAAAATTAATGTGCGGGACACATAAAAACAATCTTTGACATTTTATCAGTGCAGTGTAGGATCAGTTTCATGAATTTACGAGGGAGTGACCCTATCTACGATGCAGAAAAGGTTGTGTTTTGCTGTGGCTAGCTACGCGCACGCTGAGTAGATAGAAAGAAGATTGATGACTATTCTGAAGATTTACTGCAAAAAGGTTAATGATGCGCGGTGCAAGTAGATGCGACAAATGAAAGAAGATTTTTCGAAGATTGATTCGCTAGTGTGAGATTTGTTGAGCATCTAAACTTGAGATTTAGATGTGTCGCCCTCGTGAATTTATCTCTTCTAGAGATGATTTGGACCCTCTGGAGGGCCATTTCGTGGACACAAGGGTCAATTTGCCGATCACAACTCCGAATTTATATTGATAAGATGTCAATCAATAGTTTTGAAATAAAAAAATTAAAAAAGTAGAGCTGTTCCGGATCTTCCGGTGAACCGTGGTCATCAGGGTCTATATTCTGGTCACGACTTTGAATTAATTCTGATGAGTGGTTTTGAAAAAAACGTAGAGCTCTAGGATTTGGTTCATAAATTGACCACTTTTTGGATGCTTCGGATCTTCTAGTGGACCATCCCGTCATAGAGGTAACTCTAAGACCAGAAGGTCCCGAATAAACGAGTTCAACTTTTTGGCTCAGCTCTGGTACTATCTTCGGTCCCAAGCTAATCGATTCACCCCTCGAAACATAGGAAAAACCAATAACCCCTCATTTTATCTGTCAAACTTTCATAGCGAATCAAAACAAACATTGCGTAGTACTAAAATTTCGACTAAAATGGGATACGTTAATCGTTTGCTTGGGACCAATAGGCTAGTCAAGTAGTGAGCCAATATAAAATCGTTAGTTTCGTATTGATTGTTGATCCCGTAGTCCCCAGCGTCCATATTCCGGTCACAACTCCGATTTCATTCTGAAAAAATTTCTATGAGCGGTTTCGAAAAAAAACATGAAACTCTAGGATCAGTTTCATGAATTTACCAATTTTACGGATGTTTCGGATCTTCCGGTGGATCATCCTGTAGTCCGCAGAGGCCAAATTCCAGTCAAAACTCCGAATTAATTGTAATAAGACGTTTATGAGTGGTTTTGAAACAACACGGAGCTCTAGGATCATTTTCATGAACTGACCATTTTTACGGATGTTCCGGGTCTTCCGGAGGACCAGACTTCTGACTTTCCGGATGCAACATTATCCTAAAAGGAGGTCATCTATCTTGTTAATAACTTTTCAGAAGACACCAGCAATTTATGCCTTCAAATAACCCTACAATAAGTGTTTGTCCCCCAAATAGCTCTAATCCCATATGCGCAAAACAGAATGGAAGCAAGAAGCTCGTTGCAGTCTGCGAATAACGTTGTGCACCAAAATCTCCACTCTTCGGTCGCATATTCTTTGTTTTGATATTTACCCATAACTATCCATGGCAATGGTCAGCAAATCAACACCTATGCTTTTCTGGATGATGGTTCGTCGTTTATTCTCCTCGAATCCAGCATTGCATCGGCGCTGAGTATCACGGGGCCAACCGACAACTTTTGTTTGAGTTGGACCGATAATATTTCGAGGGAGGAGGAAGGATCTCAACGTGTGACCGTGGTTATGTCTGGAGTTAGAGAGAAGTTCAAACTCAGCAACGTTCGGACAATGCAAGAGCTT